GAGCAGGGCCAGCTATGGACAGGTAAGCAGTGTGCTGCTGGGGAGAGATGTTCCTAAGGATGCACGGTGTCCGGTCATGTGTGTGCATGTGAGTTGTTGCTGTGGGGGGCACCCTGGAGAATAGGGAGCCCACAGTGGCTGTCCAGCAGAGCCCCAGGACCTGGGAGGGCAGTGGTCAAGGGCAAGGGAGGCATGACCTATGTGGGAGGGGACATGGGGGGCTGGGAGCCAGTAACCCAGAGAGAAAGCTGGGCCTGGTCACTGCCAGTCCTATGGGAGATACCTGCCTGAAGGGTGGGAGACTCGGGCTGAGGAGAAGTCCTGGGCGGGACCCCAGGGTCTGTGGGGTGAGTGTGGCCTGAGTAGGAGTAGTCAGGGCCTGCCTGGCCTGGCACCAGCTTGGGCAGGAGGGGACAGTGAGGGCCAGTCAGTCACCCATCGTGGCTTGGTGGCTTGGGTAGACAGAGGTACCAGAAGCCATGCTGGCTGGCACAGACTGTTAGGATAAGGGCCAGGAGTTTTGCTCCTGCCTTTATCTGCTGTTGGCCAGTCAGCCAGTGGTGCTGCACCAATCCCAGGCCTGAGGCGGGTTCCCTGGTCCCAACTCTGGCACCAGCGCCTGTGTCCCTGTGGGCAACCACGCCTCCTCTCAGGAGCTGTTTTCTTAGCAACACAAATGAGTAGGCCCAGGCAGCCACAGTGGGTGTGCTCCGGGGGTCATGGCCTCTCTCTCCAGGCGGGCTGGGCTTGTGGGTCAGGGCTCCTGAGCCCCAGGCTCTGTGCAGGACAGCCGCCTTGGCCAGGGCCCCTCATGAAGGCGCCTGAGCCGGCACACTTCAGGCCAGTGCTTCCCCACCTGTCTCGTGTGTGATCAAGGGGATCTGAAAGTGAAAACAACAGGAATAAAAGTGAAACCTGACCTTTCCCCTTCTCCAGGGGAGACACCAGCTCAAGTGGTGGAGACAAAGGTCCCTCTGTGCCTCTTGAAGCGAAAACCCAGAGAAGCCTTTGGGACTTCCTCATTCCTCTTCTGCTGTCAGCAGGTCCTGGGACTCAGCAGGCCCCATAAAAGCTGTTGTTATAGTCCTGTCAGCCAGGTGGCCAGGCCGTCTGCCCTGCCCCATCCTGCACTGGGGCCAGCAGGGCTGCTAAAGATGGAGGGTCATTTCCTCACACACCTGCCGTGCAGAGAATTGCGCACACACCTGGGCATGCAAGGGCATCGCCCATACACACAGCACACTTGTGGCCCCTCACTCATCCACACATGGGGCCACACTCACACCTGAGCATGGTACCCATCCTCAGGTCCACACACTCATGACATCCCACCACAGTGCTCCCCAGATATGAGACTGCACACACGTACTACCCCTCCTGCAGCCTGCCCTCCCACACATCCATCGTGGCAAACAGATGTGTCAGTGGACACGGGACACGGAGCACTCTTGCCTGCCCACCCGTCCCTGTCCACACACATACCCACTTCACACACACACACACACACCCAGGTGTGTGGCCTCATTACTGAGGGACATCAAGCCCCTGAAGTTTCTCCTCTGGATAGGCCAGGGACACCCTCTTCCCCCCTCCACACCAGTCTTAAAATGACCTCCACCACCTCTCCTCCATGAGCAAGGCTATGCTCCATAACTGCATGTCATTGTGCAGTGACCCAAAGGGCACTCAACACCTAGCCCTTTAAAGGCCAAGCCACCCCCCGCCAGATACTTTCCCCACATGTATAACCTGGAGTTGCTGGAGGAACTGGGGATCCCGGCTATCTGAGCTCTGGCAAATCGATACAGTTCTTCTTATTTCCACATTAGAGAAGTTCTTCTAAGCTGCAAAAAACACAGACATGCTCAAGTTAGTTGGATTGGTGGCTGTTCGTTGGAAATGAAGAAACAGGACAGACAAAGAGATATGTGGGCTGGGCTCCAGCAGTGCCTTATAGTCAGTACTCACAGTTTAGGATTAACACCTAGACAGCCTTAATAATGATGCTAATGAGCATTTACTGAGCACTTGGCCTACTTGGGTCCCAGACATGACACTAGATGCACCCATTATCATGTGATTCTCATAACAGCCTTGTAGAGTCCCATTACTGCCATTTGAGAAGGGTGTTGAGGCATAGAGAGATTTGTGACTTGTCCAGAGTCCTACAGCTGGCACGTGCAGAGCTGGCATGCAAACCCAAGCTGTCAGGGTCCCAGCAGTACAGAACCACTCTGCCAAGGTGACCCCTATCTTGATGCTTCCCTGCCCTGGTGGCTCTGCCGTTCTCTCAAGATGACTTCCCCACACCTCTGTCTCTCCTGTTGTCTCTTTCTCAATCTCTTTCCTCCTCAAAATCTTCCCCTGCTTCTTCTCTGGGTGTCCTGACTTAAAGCTCCCAGCGAGAGGATCTTCAGGGTCAATTGGAGTCCAGCCAGTGTGGAACCACTCTGAAAGCAAAGCACTTGCTGGGCTGGACCCACGTGCCAAACTCCTTTCCTTCTCACCAGGGAGCAGCTGCCTTCGGGCAGGGGACAGTCAGCTGTGGTCAGGGAAGCTGGTCACAGTCAGTCCACACCAGAACCCTGTGGGTGGAGTGGATGCTCTACCAACCACAGATCGTTCACTGTGATTTATTGGAAATCTTTACTAAACACATTTCTCATTTCCTGACTTTGTAAGATTCATCTAGTAGGCATAATTGAACTTTTATAACGATTAAGATTTTATGATTCCTGAGACATTATTCTGAATTCCAACTGGATCAGGCTGCAACAGTAGGAGGTAGAGAGCGCTCATGTGTGGGGACAGCCACATGTTTAGGAAACTCCCTAAACATCTTTTAAAAATGCATTCCTGTTTGGTTATTTGCTTTCATCTCAATGTGGAAGCAACAATGGGAAGGAAATTCCCTGGCAGTGGGTTCCTGTGAAATCAGGCATCATGGTCTTAACTGCAAATGGGGACAGACTCCAGGGGATGCAGTGTCTTCCTTGTGGGTCTTCCAGCTCAGGCTGCTGAGGGGACTCCTCAGATATGTGGGGACCCGAGCCGTCTCCTCAGTCATTTCCCTTCCCAGGAGCCTCCTCTGCTGACAGAAGAACAGAAGGTGGGGCTCTTGGGTCACTCTGGCCTCATAACACCCACAAGCACAGGCTGCTAATCATCTTGGAACTGTCAAGAAAAGCCCATTTTAGTTTGATCCTTTGCACAAAGAGATTAGAGGCCCCTGACCTTGACATCTGTGTGTTGTCCCGCTTCTGTAAGAAAACATCCATGTTTATGGAGAAGCATGAAGAATGAAGCAAAAGTCCAAAACTCATCATTGAAAATATTTAAGAGGCACCTGGGTGGCTCAGTCGGTTGAGCTTCCGACTTCCGCTCAGGTCATGATCTCAGTTTGTGAGTTAGAGCCCCACATCGGGCTGTGTGCGGACAGCTTGGAGCCTGCTTTGTGTCTCCCTCTCTCTCTGCTCCTCCCCAGCTTGTGCTCTGTCTGTCTCTCAAAAACAAAAACATTAAAAAAAAAAAAATACTTGATAGAGGCTGAATATTCACACCCAAAGCTATAGTCTGAATCCTAATTTTTGTCCAACGTGAAACAGGATTTTCCCGTGGATCTGAAACCCCACATGCCAGAAGCTACCGTGGGGCCAGTGCTTCTTCAGGTCAGTCCGTTTTTTTGGGGCTTGGCCCTCTGGCTGAACAAGGGAGCTGAACTTGAGTTTTCAACTCAGAGGCCACTGGAAGCATGGCTGCGGGGCTGGATTTCAGAGCTATCTCCCTGGAGGCCCCGGGTTGCGTCAGCCAGGGAGGAGCTGGGAGCTCCCATTTCCCTAAGTCAGGAGCCAGTCAAATGAGGAAATTGCCTCAGAGCACTTGCTGCAGTGTGACAGTTACAATGACAACAGAGCAGCTGCACCAGGCAGGCCTAGATTTAAGGGGAGTGTATGTGGGTGGCCTTGTGTTGCTGAGAAAACTCACGTTTTGTTTAGTTTTTCCTGTTACTCTGCAGAAGAAACGAGACTTTCTACCAAGGTTTAACAGGATTTCTACCCCGGCACCTGACTTGGAAGCTCTTCTAAGAGGGTCAGTATTCACTACACTGATATGTGGGTTTCATTCCCTTGACCTTTAGCCTGCACTGTTGACCAAAGCAGTTGAAAGGGGACGCCTGGTCTGAAAGGGAGACAGGGTTAGGTGATTCTCAGGAAAGGCCGGTGGACCGCACTGCATCTCACGATTCAGTAAACCTAGTGCAGGAGAGGGGAGGAGAGGGTCATCTGCTGGCAGCTTCCCGGAGCTCTGCGTTCTCACTGGAGGACTGGAGGCACCACAGCTCAGAGGCAACTGTTTGACACAAACCGATCTCCCAAACCCGGCAGCCCAGCATGCCTAGACAGGACCTTCAGAGCATGTGGAGGGACGAGGGGCTTTGGGTACAGGGCCCGGGATGTTTGCCCAGCCCTTTCCAGAGAATAGACTTTTCTCTCCTCTGCCAACAGAAAAAAAGGAGATAAGAAGCTGCATTTTCCATTTCAGTCGATGTGACCAACACCCTTCTGGAAAGCCCCTCCTCATGGCACCTCAACAGGGTATGTTCCCAAGGGTCTCTACCCACAGTTGGCCCCCATGGTACTATCAGGACTCCTCTTGAGCTACTCCTCTGGGACCCAGGGAGGCAGGGGGAGGACCAGGGAGTCCTTGGGGGATTGATGTTTGGGGCCAGTTGTGTGTGTGTGTGTGTGTGTGTGTGTGTGTGTGTGCACGTGCACACACACATACACAGGAGAGGAGCAGAGGAACACTGTTCTCTGGGCTTGATAACATTCAAAGAATCCCAGCCAAACCTTCTATTGGTTTCCAGGGCTGTGTAACAAAGTAACACAGACTGGGTGGCTAAAGCAACACACATTTATTGCCTCAAAGCTCTGTAGGCTAGAAGTCCAAGATCAAGATGTCAGTGGGCTTGGTTTCTTCAGAGGCTTCTCTCCTTGGTTTGTAGGTGTGGTCATCTTCTCTGCATGTCTCCACATCATCTTCCCTCGTGTGTGTCTGTGTCTAAAATGCCTCTTCTTATAAAGCCACATGGGATTAGAGCCCACCCTAATAACTTAACTTTAATTATCTCTTTAAAGACTCCCAAGTATCACATTTGGTGATATACTGGGGGTGAGGACCTCAAAATATGAATTTGGGAGGGCACAATCCAGTCCATACCATCTTCTGGAGGCAGTAAGCATATTATTCCATATTGGCAGCTATGTAGCCCACTCAGAAAGGCAATCCTGTGTTGCCCACAGAGCCATGTTCACACATGATTTCTCTTTCAATCCCTTTAGTTCCCTGCAAAGTCAGGAGAGAAAGCATTCCTGTCTTATTTAAAACTTTTTTAAATGTTTATTTATTTTTGAGAGAGAGACAGAGCATGAGCAGGGAAAGGGTAGAGAGAGTGGGAGACACAGAATCTGAAGCAGGCTCCAGGCTCTGAGCTGTCAGCACAGAGCCTGACATGGGGCTCGGACTCACAAGTTATGAGATCATGACCTGAGCTAAAGTCAGATGCTTAACTGCCTGAGCCACCCAGGTGCTGCATCCTGTCTTATTTTATAAACGAGACACCCGAGAGCCGAAGCCAGTGGACCTGGCTGCAAGCTCCTGTCAGCAAGTGAGCGAGCAGGGCTGAGGCTTGGTCCCTCACTCCTCTGCAGTGTTCTCTCAAGCTCACTGTTTGGGACCAGAACACTTCCCTCCAAGGAGGAAGAAAATATTTCCTCTGAGAAGAGCCTCATGCCCCAATCAAGTTCATGGGTGCTCACTCCACTTGTCTTATTTAATTTGCTAGAACTTCATTTCATAACATTTATTTGCTAAATAAAGTCACTTCTCCCTGAAGTTAGCTCTCACATGGCTGCTGTGGGCCAGGCACTCTGCTGGGCAACTCATGTGTATTAGACCTTAAAATAAATCATATTCTGTAGATGAGAAAATGGAGGCTTAAGGAGATAAAGTAAGCAGCTAGTCAGTGCTGGAGGAGCACTCTGAACTCAGATAAAGGTAATTCAGAAGCCCGCACTCTTTCCAGGATTGTGACCTTCAAAAAAATTTGTATATTTATTAAGGGCCCACTTTATCCCAGGTACTGTTCAATGTGCTGTTCTAGATTCTGGGGATTCACCGCCACAGACACTGATCCCTGGCCATATGGAGCTTATAGTCTTCCAGAGGGAGACAAACAATAGGGTGAATAAGTAAATTATGTTATACATTAGGAAGCAATAAGCTGTGGAAAAAAGAAAAGATGCAGGGTTGGGTCATCAGGAATGCTGGGGGTGGGGAGAGGGCAAGTTGCAGTGTTAAATAGGTTGGGAAAGGCTCATGGAAAGGGCAGTGTTTAAACAAAGACTCTGAAGGAATGAAAGAACTAAATGTTGTGGATGTCTGGAGAACAGTGTTTCAGGCAGAGAGAACAAGTACAAAGGCCCTGGGGCAGGAGTATGTCTGATGCACTGCAGGCACAGAAAGGCGGCTGGGTGGATAGGGAGAGCAAGAGATGAAATCAGTTGAGACCTGTGACCAGCTATTGTTGGGCTCGCAGGCCACTGCCATGACTTGGGCTTTATTCTCGGAAATGGGGCCACTGGAGGGTTCTGAGCAGAGGTGGGGCAGGGTGTGGTCTGACTTACCTTCAATAAGATCACTCCAACTGCTGTGCTGAGAACTGACTGCAAGGGAACAAACAACAAGGAAGCAGAGACATCGGTTAAGAGGCTTTTGAAATAGTCCAGACAGTGGCTTGGACAAGGTGGGCCTGATGCAGAAAGTGCTAGATTCTGCTGCTGTTTCTCCTCCTCCTTTCTGGAAAGTCTGTGGAATGGGGCTGACTGCATTCCAGCCCCACTGGTGTGGGAACTTATCGGTGGTCCCAATAAGCAGCTCTGAGGCCAAAAAGGCTGTCTCAGTTCTCTGGATATCATTTTCTCATTTAGAAGACAGGGCAAAGCGGGCTGAACAATGCCAGCCTCACAAAACTATCTGAGAATCACTCCTGATGATGGATGTGAGGAGCTGAGTAACAGATGCTCAGTTACAGACTGGCTCTCTGCAGGCCCTCCAGACTCCAGGTCCTGAATCCTGCCTCAGATTAGGGCTCTAAGCCCTTGCCTTCTTGCCTCCCAAATGGAAGGAGGGGACAGATCATTCTCTGAATCCTCCAAAATGGCGGGACTTCAGGGCACATAGCACTATGCAACCTTTCCCTCCACTGGGGGGTAGTGCTCACAAATGGATGCAGCATCCCCCCACCCCTGTGAGGCCCCAGAGGCAGAGCCCGAGGTCACAGGGGGAGCCAGCTTAGAGAGACCTAGGGAACCATGGATGAACTTCATGTTTTCTGACCCTCAGGGGAGGGGCTGCAATGAGCACCGGATTAGGAGTCCAGCAACCTGCATTTCTCATTTTGAGATATAGTTGATATATACCATTATATTAGTTTTAGGTGTGAACATAATGATTTGATATTTGTATATACTGTGAAATAACTACCACAATAAGTTTAGTTACAGCACCCTCTATTTCTGTTTCAACTCTGCCAGTTTCTAGCTCCATATACTTTAAAAATGATTTTTCTCTGGGCCTCAGTTTCCCCATGCATCAAATGCAAATGTTGGCAAAATTTCTGTGCTTCTCTCCAGCTTTCTGGAGGTTTTCTGGGCCTGAAGAGGAGCCCAGGCAGTGTGGAGTCATGGATTTACTCACTTCCTTGTTTTCCTACATGACTTGGCCCTATTCCCTGGCCTCCACCTCTCCCTAGCTAAGCTCTTAACTTAGTCTGAGCCAACTCTTCAGGGAGGACTGGTGACCCGATGTGGGGTCAGAATCCTAGGACACAACCTTGCTCTCTCCCCTCAAGATGCGAGATGCCTCTAAGAGAGATGAGCGGGATGGTCACAGTGGCATGAGTTTAGGTGGTCCGGGTGAAAGGTCCCTTAGGAACTCTCCTTTTACAGGTAGGAAAGCTGAGGCTACGAAAGAGAAGGGACTTGTCCAGGACTCACAGAGACCACTGGAAACATCTTTAAATACAAACAAGCAGATTTATTAAGGTATAATAGACATACACTGACCCTCACATGAAGTGTCCAGTTCGGTGCGTTTTAGCATACATACATACCCACTAAACTATCACCTTCAGAAACTTCCTTATCTCCCTCCCTCTGTTATCTCCTTCACCTCCCACTCCAGGCAACCACAGTCTGCTTTCTTTTACTGTCAATCAGTTTTTGCTCTACTTGAAGCCAGAGCTCCCAGGACTGGTTGGCAGATTGGGGGTGGGGTGTGGGAGAAAGAGAGGGTGACCAAGATTCTGGCCTGAGGACTGGAAGGCTGGAGTTGCCATCATTTGAGATAGGGGCTGAGCAAAGCTGGAAAGAGCTTCCAGAGCTCAGCTTTGGATATGTGTTCAAGCTGTCAAGTGGTTCCTGGGTGGGAAAGGAGTGGTGGTTGGCCACCTGAGTCTGGAGCTCCAGAGCATCTGGGCTGAGACACATAGAGAAGGACTGACAGCCAGGCACTGGACAGTTCTCCAAGGAGTGTAGGTAACAACCAGGCTCTGGCTCTCACACACCAACAGGTCATGAGGGCTCTCTAGAAAATGCACCCTCGCTTCCAAATCTGCCCCTCACTCAGGGGTCAGGCCTCTCTTAACCATAGAGAGGGAGCCTTTACAGGGCAGAGCTGTGTAGTTTCATCTGAGTTTTTGCCCAGTACCCCCACAGTGCCCGGTCTTTTTTAAGAGCCTGCTACATATTTGTTGAACAATGGGGCTGGGAAGGGCAAGAAAAACTCTCCCCACCTCTGCAAATTTGCAGGAATCCACTTCTGCTTTTTTCCCAGAGTCATGAATCACAGGAGCAGGACTGCTTCCAAAAGGCCTTCCCCTGACCCTCACCTCTGGCCCGTCATTCTGCAGACAAGGAAAAAGCAGAATGGCATTCAATTCACCTTTCCCTCAGCTGACCTCCCAATAACCCCATTGGCTAGGTCTTCTCATCCCACTCTACAGATGAGGAGAGTGGGGCTCCAGAGAGAGGGTGGGGAGTAGATACGAAGGCATGATCTCTGAATGCATTGCTGCCGCCCTCCCCACTCCCACAAGGAGGAAGTTCTCTTATAAAGTGGGGGGACCCTTGGTGACACTGCATGAAGGCTTGACAGAACTGGCCTTTGGCTGTCCCCCACTGGGCACTGCCCCTTCCATAGGTCTCTCTTTCCTCTGCAAACCAGTGATAAGGCAAGCCGCTCCCCCTCAATCTTCCTGCCCAGCACTGCCTTTTGGCACCCTATCCTGGCCTGTGCTCTGGGTATGAGAACTGTAATGCCCCCTGCTCTGTCCTAAAGAAACTTCTCTGGGCCATGCATGCCTCCTCCCACTCCAGGTGTGTGGCAGTACATTGTGATGCCCCCAATCCTGCCCAAACATTCAACTTGCCCAATAAACAGAACTGGGCAGCTCCCACTGTGTCTGGTCTGGCACACAAATGACAGGCACTATCCCAGCCCTCTTGTGGCTGGGGAGGGGAGGTCAAGGGCTCAATTTCAGGTCATTAACTGAGACCATGAGGGGCGCTCTGGAGGAAAAGGCCGGGGCATGGGATAGAGGGACCAGCCATCCCAGGGTCTCTGAAGGCATCCTGAAGATGTGAGGGGAAAGATGGGGCTGATGGTTGAGCAGGAGTCAGCAAGGGAAAAACATGAGGAGAGAACATTCCTGGTGGAGGAGAAAGTGGGACAGAGCTGTGAGGGACAGAGAAGGCCTGTGTGCCTCAAGAGGAGACTGGGTAGGGGACTTGGAAAGTCTGGAGAGAAAGTTAGGACTAGAATTGGTGAGTCTTGTCTGCCAGCGAAGAAATAGACCCTCTCCTTAGCTGGATCAATGGCTGGGACCCAGGCATTGAGAGCGGGCAGTAGTCTTGGGTCCCAAAATACCCTTGGAAGGAAGGTTCCCAAGTCAGTCCCCACTCAGCAGAGACTAGCAGCTCCAAGAGCTCTACTGGCAGACAAGAGGTTCCCTGTCCCTGAAGCCTACGCACTGCAGGTTTCCAGTGCAGTCCGGGAGGGGGCCCAGGCCTGCGGTCCACAGGAGCTTTCTGAGGAGGAAAGGTGGAGCCCTGGAATGTGCTGACCTCTGCCTCCTGCAAGCCCCAGGGCTGAGACCCATTCTTTCCAGCACCAAAGCTCCACTGTAGCCAAGGGTGGGTGCGGTCCAGTGCTGGGCAGGGCCACACAGGAGCATCTACTTCCCTTAGGATAGTTCCCAGAAGGGCTCTGGCTTCCCCTGAACCTCTATCCTCCTCCCCAGCATTCTTCCCTAATGAGGAGGGGAAGGCTCCTGAGGCCCAAGTACACAGCCAGGGAGGTGCTGGCTCAGTGCTTCCTGGGCAGGGCCTGCGGGCACCCTTGAAGCCAGTGGCCCTACAGCACCTTTCAGGAAACTTAACAGTTGGTTTTGGAAGCAGAGCACACGTGGTCTGTATCCAGAGGAAAGTCACCAGTAGCTGGAAGGGGTGGGGGCGCTGAGGAATGCTGAAGGGCAGGGCCCAGGTATGGGAAGGCCACCAACTTTGGAGGGAATACCACACTCACCCTCTCTCTAAGCCTCAGTGACCTCATCTATAAATGAAAACCACTGTTGCTCTGCTAATGCCCCCAAAGAGGTTTGACGTTGCAGTAAGTTGCTTCCCAAATGTGAGGTGAGACTCATCAGTGTCCAGTTGTCCTCGGAGAGAGATACTGAGGTAAGCAGGGCACAGAAGTTGCCAAGCTTCCAAGAGCACAGCAGGACCCACAGAAGGAGGAGTCAGGCAAAGTCTGAAGATTTCTTTTGCATCCTTGATTTTGAGGTATTGTGCCCTGGGATGCTTTACCCCAGATAAACTGAGCTCTGCATTTTCCTGTCACACCAAGACTTGGGCTTACATGGGGCAGGGCAGGGTGGGATAATCAGTGGTTCTTCACTGGAAGCCTCTGAGAATCTGCCATGGGGCTGGTGGGATGCACACGTGCATATTCTAGGAGCTCAGGGGATCCTCAGGGTGCGGGATACATAAGAAACCTGGCTGCAGGACCCCTGGAGGGGGGTGGGTAGGAGTCAGGATTAGGCAGGGAACTGAGAACGAGGCAGGACCCCTCCAAGGCAGCCCCCCACAGCCCTCTGAACTGTGTTTTGTGTCTGCTCCCCCTACCCTGGAAGTTTTCCCTGTGATCAGTGAGTTCTCAAGTGTGTGGACTTCATCCTCCTAGAAGCCACAGTGCGTGCCACTGAGCAGGGACTCTGTATGTGTGCTGGGAAAGGAACAGAACAAACTTGGTAAACTCTCAGCTCAAGGCTACCTGCATACAGCTGGTGCTCAATAAATGTCTGGCAGCTGACTAGTTATTCTCCAAATAAAAATGCCCCATGCTCAGTACGCACCATTAGGCCTTTCCCGAATCATGCCTCTTGTTTGCAGCCCTATTCTTCCTGTGGGCTCTCTTCACCAGCTGACATTGTGAGCATCCTTCGTGGACCTCCTTTCCTGGGACAGCTTCTTTGACCTGCCTGAGCTCAATGCAGCTCTGCCCCAGCCCAAAACCTTTAAGGACTTTCCTCAGTCCCACAGAGGACTGCCTGACTCCCCTATGCCCACCCACACACCCCAGCCCCCAGCCCTTAACCTGATCCCAACCCCTAACACAGTGCCCAGACAGACAGCAGTCAGCAACTTACAAACATGTGTAAACACGGACATTCGCTCTCTTGGTGGTGCTAGGAATACACACTGCTAAGTGTGCACATGGACGTGCTCATTCCCACTCTCACTGTTCTCAGGAGACACCAGGTTGGTTCATAAAGCTGAAAGGCTCTGGAGAAGTCACCTTCCCCCATTAAAAAGCAGGGAGCTGATGGTCAGGATGTCTGGGCGGGTGACCTTGGAAAAGCCACTCTGCTGAGCCTCAGATTCCCTGTCTGTGAAGTGAGCAGTTAGTTGGACCACATCATCTCTCAGTCTCTCTGTCAGCACCAGAATTCAAACCTGTTGAAAGTGGTCAATCATATCACAAGAACAAGTTTCCCCAAAGTGACCGTAGTAAAGGGGAAGAGGAGAAAGGTGCTTCAGGGCGCCCTGACTGGTGCCTCTGCACTCCAGGCTCCAGTGGGCTCGTCCTGGCGGCTGGGTCAGTCTCCCTCTGAGACCATCACCAGAAGCTGAGGACACAGCCAGCAGGTGGCTGTTGGTCCCAGGTAAGGCCTTTGCTACATTATGCCCTATTATCAATTCCCACAGAGTGGGGCCTGTGGTTCACTGTCCCACTGCATTTGAGGCACATTTCTCAGGAGCCAGCCCTGAAACTGGCTTCTAATTTTGGAGGAGGGAGAAAAACCGGATTCCAGTGAAGGACTATTTTTACCAGAACATTAAAGCCAGCTGTTGTTCCTGCAGCCTGTGGGCCCCCACCCCATCTTCCCCAGGGTGGCTGGTGCCCTCATCCTTGGGAGCTGGGAGAGACACTGTCCCCCAGCCTTTCATCTTACCACTGCTTGCTCAGTTCCAACCAGCAGCACTTCCGCTCGGGTTCTCCACCTTGGACTTGCTCCTGAAAACTTCTGGAAGCATCGAATAGTGCAAACAGATTGTTTTCATTATGATTATTCTGGGTTTAACCTTCTGGCCTGGCGTCACCAAGTATATGGGGCTCTTTCTTAGAACTGTGGGAGGCCTCATCCCCTAAATCAGTCTTTATTTTTCTTCTCTTCACTTCTGGATTCTCTCTAACAAGCGCCCCCTGCCCCAGGCCCCGCACACCCTCTCTGCCTCCTCCAGGAGTTGTCCGATGAAGTCTTAGGACCTCTGGGACAGCAGAGGGGCACCGTGACCCTGCCTCCTGCCCAGTCATCAGATTCTGGCCTCTGCATAGCTACTTCCTAACGTGAAACCAGCATCTCTGAACCTGCTCCCAAAGGGCTCAGGGGGTGTGCCACATTTGGTCTGAATGTTTTCAATATGAAGATTTTCCTATTCTTCAAAACTGTAATAAAAACAACACACCCACACAAATGTGTTACATACAAATTTTAGTATAATGAAAACTACCAACACATTAACTTGGGCTGCTGCATTAACTTTTTTTTTTTTGCAGAGACCTTAGAATAAAACTTCGATTTAATTAAATGTAGAGAGCTGATTAAAAACAAAACAAAACACTCTTACCAAATACAAGTACTTCTCCATGTAAAACAGGATTTTCTTGATATTACACAATTGAACAGATGGCAGTGATTCTCAAATGGGGTGATTTTGCACCCCCCCCCAAGGGACACCTGACAATATCTGGAGACACTTTTGGCTATCACTACTGAGAGGAATGTTACTACTTGCCTCTAGTAGGTACAGACTAAACTTGGTGGTAAACATCCTACACAGAATAGGCTCCCACAGTGAAATATCTAATCAGAAATGTCAATAGTGCTGAGGTTGAGAAACCCTGCTATGTGGGAAGGTGCTGGATGCCTAGGTTGGCATGATTCTGACTGATTTCCAGAACCCTGGATTTCAAGTGGTTATGTTGATCAAACTGCCTGATTATTCTCACTAATAGACTTGATAAGTATACACCATAAATAAGAAAGCAATAAATAAAGTTAAGCTTAGTAAACACTTACCTGGGGTTCCAGGTAAGATTCTATAAAAAGAAATCTGTACCTAAGAAAGTCTGCAACCAGTTGGCCTGACTGTTGGTCTTGATGCTTCTGACAGCCTGACTTTCCAGCTCCAGTCCATTCCACTTGGCTATCCTCTTGGCTTCAGGAGAGGCACAGACCCCTCTGAGCAAGCCTTTTCAACATATGAGAAAGAGGGCTTCTTAGCCCAGTGGAGTGTAGGCTCCATGGGAGAAGAGGTTTTGGTCTGCTTTATGCCTGGCACAAGGTAGGAGCTCATTAAATAATCACTGAATGAAAGTGAGACATTCCCAATGTCTTCAAGGGACTGAAGGTTCTTTCTGACACCTTTGAAGGGAAGGAAGGCAGGTATGCTGTTCTGGGAGCCCCTGCCCTGTGCTGCCATGCTGCTCTTGGCTTGGCTGGTCATTCCCCACCTGAGGAAGCCTTGGATTCCATTCACAGGAGACTGACTCCTTCAAAGGAGCCTCTGGGCATCCTAGGCACACTTCCTGTCTCCAAATCCTCGGGTCAGGGAGTGACACTCTGGACCTGGCCTGGAATGGGCCTCTGATCTTCCCACCCATCTTTGAAGGCTCCTCTTAGCCTCCCACACACTCCACAAAGAGCCTCACTCAGGCCTACTTGGGGCTGATGCTCAGTGGCACACTCATCAACAGCTTCTAAAATTAAAGAATATTTTCAAAGTGCCATCCTGTCCCAGGGCACAGGATTGGACCCTAGGAAGTCATCAACAGAATCCACCTGGACCTTCTGGAGCCTCACCTGGGCAACCCAGGTGTGAGGGCTGCCATGCTGATGATGCAGCAGCCCCTCTCTTCAATGATCCACTCTTTATTGACTACAGCCTCACCAGGTACTACAATGTGCCAAGCCCCATGCTAGTCCTGTAAGCAAAACAGACACTGGGCTCATGGTTCACCCCCACTGAAGTTTACCATTAACCATTCTAAGGAAGAGTGTTCTAAAGTCTAAGCCCCTAAAGGCCAGTATCTCAGCTCAGTAACACCAGAAGAACAGGGTTCTTTACTCTTGTCCATGCTGGGGGAACATTTTATTTAAAAAAATTTTTTTTAATGTTTTATTTATTTCTGAGAGAGAAAGAGAGAGAGAGAGAGACAGACAGACAGACAACGTGAGCAGGGGAGGGTCAGAGAGAGGGAGACACAGAATAGGAAACAGGCTCCACGCTCTGAGCTGGCTGTTAGCACAGAGCCCGATGTGAGGCTCGAACCCACATACTGCAAGATCATGACCTGAGCCAAAGTCGGACGCTTAACCGACTGAGCCACCCAGGTGCCCCTTTGCTGGGGAAGATTTTAAAACAATGACTGGGCCAAAGGCATTGGTCAGGGTGGTGGGCTCAGTGCAAGGTGTTTGCTCTACAAAGCCATGAGATCCCTGAGGGCAGGAACTTTGTCTCATTCATTCTTGAACCCTCAAAGCAGGCTTGCATGTGTTTGCAAGGCCCTTCTGCTGTGGTGATTGGTGAAGCCCCACCACCAGTGAGCAGGCTATCTCCTGCTCTGACCAAGAGCAGCCATCACCATGAAGGCTCTTGAATTGGGACATATGGGTTTCCACTCTGGTCCTATCCCTTTCAGACTGTGTGATCCAGGCACCTTGCCTAATTTTGCCAAGCCTAGACTTCCTCAACTGTAGGATGGCAACAATAGTATCACCCACCTCATTTGACAATTTGTGAGGATTAGATGGTATAATCCATATCAAGTGCTTAGAACAGTGTCAGGGATAGAACCAGCCCTCAATAAATGTTAGCCACCGCCAGCATGATATTCCTGCAATGTCCAGAAGTCTGCAGATTAGAATTGGCTGGAGGACACCTATTTGCCTCCTGGTTCATAGGCCAGAGGCCTGACATGGCTTCTTAAAGGTGAAGCATGGAAATACCCCCACCATGCAGTGGACAGCCTCTTGGGAGGCACTGCTAAGTGGCCAGAACAAAGTCTCAAGCAACAATGTCCAGAAACTCAGACACTTGAGGAACTTCCCACTCCCCAAACTTATGGATGCAGAGATCCAGAAAGGCCCTCCCACATCTCAATGAAAGCCAGAGTCCTGCCTGGGAAGAACACAGGAACTCGAGGCTCAGCCCTGACCTCAGACTTAGGAAGGGGAGTCTCCTTGTAGAAGCTATTCATTCAACTTGAAGAGACCCTGGAGGAGGGGAGAAGGGATGTCCCAGAAGGGACATTCAGGGGAGAGGCACTGTTTACATTTCAGCAGACTCTACTGCTTCAAAAGACACAAAGTGGGCATTTCCCACAACAATGGAGGGATAGGGTCAGAATTCCTCATGTCTGGTGGTTGAGAACTGCCAGGCTGGGCTATTTGTTTACAACAAAAGTCATCACTTAACCAAAGTAGCCATCTAACAGAGCCTAAAAACTATCTTTTTGTACTGAGTTAGAGGATTTGGGCCTAAATATGGCAACTGAGTTTGCCTGCTAGTGATGGTCTTCTTGCAGACTGGGATAGGCTTTGTCAGGCTGTTGGAGTGAAAGGAGCAGCCCCTGGGTGCCCTACCTGCCAGAGGGAACCCTTATGCAATAGTTGCACTGCACGGCGGGCTCCAGAAGGGGAAAAGGACTGAGTTTTCCTCAAGCCTATGTCTGTAACCACCAAGTATTAAGAAGAAATTGAAACCTGTTGTGGCAAAGGTTTGTTTTGCTGGGTCAGATGGTGACACTGAGAGGGTTTCTTGAGGTCTGTCCCTGTCAAGGGCATCGTAGCAGCTGCCCTTCCTGCAGTTTCACTCATCCCACCTGCCAGGTACTCAAGACAAAAATCCTGGGGCTCTACCGGTGCCCCTCTCACTCTCATGCTGCCCCCCACCCCATCTCATCCATCACTGCTGGCTTTTCC